ACACCATGGAACTTCCTTGCCAATATTAACACAACCTAAAGTAAGAAATTTTCATATACTGACAATTTTACATTTAGGAAGTGCAAAGTAAAATATTTCCTCGTTATAAAAATGTTCAATCAAGAATGCAAATATTATAAAAATTTTGGGGTGTTACAGCTCTCTCTCCCTTAAAAAAAATTTCGTCTCGAAATTTACCTTGTACTAGTCCCGAAACAAATGTGGATATTGAACTCGCATATCCTCTTCTCGCTCCCAGGTAGCTTCTTCGCCTGAATGATTTCTCCAAAGAACCTTCACTAATGGGATTCTCTTTTTTCTAAGCTCTTTTATCTCCCGCGCTAAGATTTGAATTGGTTCTTCTTCATATGTCAAATCAGGATTAACCTCAATAGACTCAATAGGAAGAACATGAGATGGATCTGAGCGGTATTTTCGAAGCATAGAAACATGAAAGACGTTGTAGATATTACCTAATTCAGGTGGCAAAGCTAGCTTATATGCAATCGGACAAATTCTTTCAAGTATTTCATAAGGTCCAATAAATCGAGGGCTAAGTTTACCTTTTTGGCCAAATCTCATAATCTTCTTCCATGGAGAAACCTTTAAAAATACCTTATCGCCCACCTGATGCTCAATTTCACGTCTTTTAAGATCAGCATAAGACTTTTGTCTGTCTGAAGAAATTTTCAAACGATCCTTGATGATTTTTACCTTATCTTCAGTTTGTTGCACAATCTAAGGACCCACAAATTTTCTTTCACCAACCTCATTCCAACAAAGAGGCGTTCTACATTTTCTCCCATATAAAGCTTCATAAGGAGGCATGCCTATGCTTGATTGGTAGTTATTATTGTAAGCAAATTCTATTAGGTCCAACTATTTGTCCCAACTACCCTTAAACTCAATAATACAGGCTCGAAGCATATCCTCCAAGATTTGTATTACCCTTTCAGGCTGGCCGTTTGTTTGTGGATAGAAAGCGGTACTAAAATTCAACCTGGAACCCAAAGTTTCTTGCAGACTAGACCAAAATCTGGATGTAAACCTCGGATCTCTATCAGACACAATAGAAACAGGGATTCCATGCAGCTTCACAATCTCATTAATGTACAATTCTGCTAAACGTTCCAGTGAGTAGTCCATTCTGATTGCCAAGAAATGAGCACTCTTAGTTAGTCTATCTACAATGACCCAAATTGC